TCTCTCTCTCTCTCTCACACACACACACACACACACACACACACACACACACACACACACACACACACACACACACACAAATCTCCAAAATATCATTGCATCCGAAGAAGTGAGGTTTTTACTCACGAAAGCTTATGCCCAAATAAATCTGTTAGTCTTTAAGGTGCCACCAGACTCCTTGTTGTTATTGTTAAAACAAAATTGAAAGCAATTAGAGTTCAGCACTTCAGCCTGCAAAGTATCTCTAATATCTGGATCCTACTTAAAAAGAGCTAGGAGGAGACTAATGGTCTCCAGGCAGAACAACTACAGATTTTTGGGGAGGTAGACATAGAACAGCATTTCCAAGTAATTAAATGCTATAATTCTGTATTCGCTCTAAGTAATAGCAAGAAAGGCATAGTACCTTCAGAGCCTTCGAATGCTGTGTGATCCTTATGTCACCTTTGATACTTAGTGATTCCATCTGAAGGCTTTCTTCATAATTCCTGATATAGCTTCTTTGTTGGTTAAGGAGTGCTATCCAGGTATTAGTTTAGGGGGAATTAAGGACATCCAGTTCTGAACAGATATATAATATTGCCTAAGGCAAAGTGACATGGACCAAATCGATAACTCTCTTCCATCTCTAGCTATCCTGGAGCAAAATGCCTGAGTAAATGGCTCTATACTAGCACTACAAGACATGAGTGTGTGTTACACGCCGAGATGAGTTTTTATTTTATTAGACTGATACCTTTGTTTCTACTTGTGTAGCCTGTGTGCTGCTAATATGTCCATTAGCAAGTGGCCTTGACACTGCCACATTTGCACATGTGGCCTCAGCCCAGGAAAGAAATATTTATTTATGAGTTTAAAAACATTCACAGACCAGCTTTACCACTGTTGTTACATAAGTATGATTTTACCCCAGCTTGGGAAGACTGTCAGGATCGCAAGACAGAAGACTATCCTACAGACACAGCCCATCTGCCTTTCCTCATGTATTCTCAGTAGGACTCAGAGGCCCTCAACAAGGTAGGAGCCCCACTGTGCTAGGAGTTGCATGTATATGTAGTGAAAGTGCGCACTGGTCCAAAATAGCAAGTCAAAGGGTAAGAGGCAGGAAAGTATCCTCATCCCACTGAGAGACAGGGCGATGAAATGACTTTCCCAGCATCACAGGAACTCCCCCTTAACCATACGATCATCCTTCCTCTCTAATCTAATACAAAATTTTATTCGAAACATGGCAAAAAATAATCAAATAAGCTATTTGACCTACTCTTCTCATATTCTTTCAGCCACCACAGGGTGTCTCTGCATCTCTTCCTAGAAAGACAAAAGCCTCTGGTCAGGGCCGGCTCCAGGCACCAGCAAAGGAAGCAGGTGCCTGGGGCGGCCAATAGAAAGGGGCAGCACTCCGTCCGTTGTTGGGGCGGCACGTCTGGGTCTTCGGCAGCAATTTGGTGGCAGGTCCTTCACTCCCCTTCTTCTTCGGTGGCACTTCGGCAGCAGCTCAATCAGGTTTTTCTTTCTTTCTTTCTTCGCCGCTTGGGGGGCAAAACAGCTGGAGCTGGCCCTGCTTCTAGTAGCCTGGCCCAGAGTAGCCAGGAACACCCCACCTTTGGAAAGATGGCAGGGAGGGAGGTAATATCTTTTATTGGACCAACTTCTATTAGTGAGAAAGAGGGAAGCTTTCGAGCTACACCAAGCTCTTCCACCTTTGGAACACAGAGCTCCAATCCTTTCAGTGTATTTGACACAATTTATGTTTTAAAAGCTAACAAAAAAATTACCCACTTCTCTGTGGATTTTCTTCAGCAACAGAGAACTATGTCTGGTTTGAGAATGCTGTTACAATAGGCGGTGCTTCTCACTGGACAGCGAGAACTTATTTCTTTTAGTGGCTGAAGATACTTGAAACCTGGAGATGTTTTGATGGGGTAGCTGCTTGTAGTTCATGAAACAAGGATGATCAGGTAACTGAAATCTGATCATTCATCACCCTTCATCTGAGCTGCACCGTGCATCTGAGAGCAGAACTGAGTTCTCAATGTCCATATTTACCAATGTCTATATTCCAATGTCTTTGACGAAGCAATCAGTGTAATAGCTTTGCCAGGATAATGGCACTAAGTATTGCACTGCACACCTTAGCAGATCTGTTCAATTGTCCTTAATATAGGTTTAAAGTAGTGTTTATTTGCAATGAAATGAAGCTGAAGGGCAAGCAAGTGACTTAGCAATTACCTGATACAGTCACCGCTGGACTTAATACCCACATGCTGCTGCTGTGATCATTTTACCTTGCGACACTTATGGGTGGTTGTTTTCTCTTTTTAAGGAACATTCTTTGTAATATGTAATATTAGAAATGGGTTAATTGTTTGGGATAAAACATGAACCATTCTGGACCTACGTCCAAGCTCCAATGCAAACCTGAGCCTGCTTGAAGCTTTTAGATTTGGAAAAGGTTCACTTGCTTTTTTTCTGAATTGCTCTTCATTCTCTCTATATCCTGGTCTTCAAGTCAGTGGCCAGCAGGGATTTAAATACTGATGCATGGGGAAAAAGGCTGTGGCTGTTGGGTCCATTGCTATATGGATCCCCTGGCTGCCATACATGTGTAACATTTGGGCTAGGAGGATTTCACCCCCTCAGCTTCCTTGTAGATCCCATGTACAAAGCACTGCTATGAAAGCGATACACATGAGAGCAGGATTTGGCACTTAGGATCTAAGCAAATATCAGATGACCCCAAAGCTGGGCTTTTTCATAGCACTCTGTTTCCCTTGGATTGGGTTCTGGTGTGTTATATGCTCCCCAATCTATTTCTTTAGCTAACTATTATGGGGCACATATTGCTCCACTCACCTGGAAACAGTGTGGGGTTACAAACTGGCAGGGTTTAGCGGGATATGTGGGTAGATGGATGGGTGAAGACCTCTACCTCTGCTCACTAACTTGACATGAAAATGAGCCTTGGTGAAGTCCTGCATCTGAAACACTTTCTTCGGAATTCGCCACTGCCACCAGACCGACCAGATGCTTCTCCATACTACCAGCCCATCCATCTCAGAGGTCTAGATTCTCAAATATCCCCATGTTTGTGCTGTTTAAAATTTTCCCTTATCCAGGCATAGATCTGTTCTGAGCCAGCGCCCACTAGAGTGAGTGGAAAGACTCTATTTGGCTACACGGAATGTTGGATAACACACCAACTAAAACAAAAATTCATGTCATGGGGAGACAGTGCTGGATTTACATTGGTTAAATGATCTCTCTGCACCATTTCATCCCTTTATCGGATTACAGAGTGACCGGGATTTAAATGTTTTGTTATGCTTTCTCTTCCAGAATGGGCTTCACTTGCATGGTCAGGAGGACAACCAAAGAGAGAAGCACTGACAAAGAGGAAAACACATGGGATTCAAGAAGGACTTGGGACTCCTCACAGTAGGAAGAGCAAAAAGAGGAAGGCATAAGAAATTGCACACATGTGGAGGTAAGTAGATATTCTTCCTTGTACTTTGGCAAGTGCTGAGAGTCCTCTGCAATCTGGCTTCATTGCTGCACCCGATCAGAAAAAAAAATTGGTCCATCTAGTCTGGCATCCTGTCTCCAGTCAGGGCCAGGATGGTCCAGAGGCAAATGCAATACTGTATTGGGGAAATTTTTTTCCTGGCCTAGCTGATATTTATTCATGCTCTCCCTCTCTTAATCCAACAGTGTTCATCTGTCAGTTGGATCTTTACACTCATAATTTAACTACAGACATAGAACAGTAATGCTTCCATTGTTTAAGGGGAAAAGATACAAAGGATTCTTTAAATTCAAAGATGGAAATATGCTTAATTTCCATGCACTACACAGCTGAGAATAAATGTCCTATTATTAAATCTAGAGGAGTCAGGATGCAGACAGCTGGGGGGAAAGTTCCATTTATATTAGTCACTCTAGGACTTTATTCTGCCTAGAATTACAGAGGGTGTGCATCTGTGGCTTTCCTCTACTTCCTAGTGTGTGATGTGAGGTGCAGGCATGCTCAGTAGCTTATGCCTACCACTCCTATCTCAGTAACAGTGCCTACAATACTAAGAGACTGGTTGCATCAGAAGCAGAGCTGGAAAGCCATCTTTGCTAGCTGCTGAGAGTGAGAGAAACAGCAGAACCTTAGGAGATCCGCAGACTGTCTGACAGAAAACAATGTGAGTATCCCTTGTCATAGGAGTTTAATGAAAATGAGCTGCAGTATGAGAATGAGGGTTTAGTATGTCTGGAGGGAAGGAGTTTGGCTAAATCCGTGTCAAAGCACTCTCCATCAGTTGTGGTGCTGAAACTCTGAATACTCAGCTATGAATGGGTGTGTTTCTTACTTCACAAAGAAATGATAGCAGCATGGCTTTAAGCTGACTGAGATCCTTTTTGAAGCAAGATTGGGTTATGGGATTGTATATTGTGCTTTGTCACGGATTCTGTTTTATATCTGTGTATATCTGTTTACAGTTATATTCCCCCTAAATGCTTGCTCTATAGAAGCACAATACTGTGGCTAGAAAGTTCACTGCTGTTTCTGATACATGAAAAGTTGCTTGTTTGGGTTTTGGAGAAATAGCCAAGTAGTATGCTGCTGTTTTCAAAACCAAGTACAAATTAACTCTTACTATGAATGTTTAAGTTTCTGTGGGGTGTGGGTGTGGTGAAAGGCTGGCTATGTGAATAAGGCGTCTGAAGCTACTTTAACATTGGTGTGGCTGGCTGTCACATGAAAACTACATGTGTGTGTATCTGTGTGAATCAGTGTCAGACGCTGAGGAGCATTTGCTGAGTGTGAGACCTCTCTTGTGTATATTAGAGAGCCAAAGTTTGTTTAAGACAGAATCAAAGTCTAATCAGTCTGCTGTGGCTCTTAAACAGTGGGAACTCTGCTCTGGCTGGCGGTGCAGTTTTTCCAGCTGTTGGAGAATTACTAACACGTTTACAATTCAAAATAGTGCTGAAACCAACCCTTCAAAACGCTGGGCCAAATCCTCAGTTAGTGTAAATCAGTACAGTTCTGTAACTCACAATGGAACAATGCTGATTTATACCAGCTGGGGATCTGGACCTTTGTCCTCACTATCCGGTGCAATATGGTAATAAAATATTAGATAGAAAATAATTTCAACTCAATTTGTATTCAGCACCCATCTGTTTCTGTGCAGCAGTGGATGACACTAACCCGTCACTTCAGAATTATTTTATTCCATCTTTAAATAGCTGTCCATGTCCTTAACTGGGGTGTAAATGACAGCATTAATTTGCTCTTTTAGACAACAATAAAACCTATTTAGTTAATAGTTACTCTGGAAAAACATTGGTGTAAAGGAGAATAGATCTGCCCATGTAGTTTAGATAACTAGATTCTGAAATGCATCCTTTGATAACAACCTATAACAATCTACATGGGAGGTGGGGGGCGGAAATTGATGAAAGAGGGCACTTCAAACTAGAAGACAAAGGCATAACAAGATCCAGTGGCTGGAAGTTGAAGCTGAACAGGTTTAGCCTAGAAATAAGGTGCAAATTTTTAACAATGATGGTAATTTACCATTGAAACAATTTACCTAGGGTTGTGGTGGATTCTCCATCACCAACAATTTTTTAATCAAGATTGGATGTTTTTCTAAAGGATCTGCTCTAATTCAAACAGGGATTAAGTCAGGGAAGTTCCATGACCTGTATTCTACAGAGGGTCAGACCAGATGATCACTATTGTCCTATCTCGCCTTATAATCTATGAATCTATTAACATGATTGCATAAATGTTCATTTGACTAGTCAGCGCAAACCAGCTGCAAACATCTCAGCAGTATAAAAAAAGTCAAATAATTCTAATACTATATAACATACGCGGGCGGAAAAACATAGGGCCAGATCCTCAGGTGGATCCTACTGGTATAGAAGCGAATGGAGCTATGCTGATTATTGTAAATAAAAAGTTGTGTCCTACTGTAAACTATTTCAATACAAATTTTTTTTAAAAAATTACATCCAGAATCTCATTCTGAGATCTAGAATTTTTTTTCATTTGCTTATTTACCTATTAAAATATCAGAAAACAAGCTTTTATCTACAACATCCAGAATGTCTCCAAGCCAAGGTATTGTGTTCTGAAAAATATCCCAGTTTAATGTGCACCTCTGAACTTCTCCAAATGGTTATGAGCTTGCCAGCTCATTGTATGCTATTGGTGCTGTTGCCTAGTTGTGTCTATATCAGGAGTCAGAGGATGACGTCAAATACTTTTGATCTGTATGTGAGCTGTTCTTCAATGATTAATGCAACAGTTTCCTGCTGCAGAATTATCATCTAAACTATTCAAACAAGAAACAGTTTTTCATACTATCTTTGTCTTACTAGTGTGTATTCATAACCGATTTTTTAATTAAAAATAGGTTGATTCAATATTAGTATGACTGGGTCTTTTGTAGAAAAGCTTGCATAAGTTTCTTTGTTGATCTAGGGGAAAGGGGAAACTGTTTTTTGGTGGGATAATCTTTCAACACACTAATCATACAAAGCCAGGATAAATCAGCAACTTGCTTTAGGCAGATATTGATGTATTTAGTTGATTTCTGTTTCTCTGGGAAATGGATGTACAGAAAAGGAATTTAAAACTCCTTGATGAATGTCACCACTATCCAACTTTGAGTTATTGATGAATGCCAGAAGGTAAATGTGTGTTAACTAACTATCTGTAGCAACAACTAATGGTATTCATCAACTTGCAAAAGCTTATTGCTAGTGAACACCAAATACCAGGAAATGGTTTCTTTTCATCTTGTTGTAGAGCACCATAAACATGCATAGCACTTCACACACTTGTAAGACAAAGAGCTGGCTCCTGAGGGCTTGTCTTCACATACTGCTGTGCAGCTGCAGTGCTTTAGTGAAGACACTACTATGCTGATGGGAGAGCTGCTCCTATCGGTGTAGTTAATCCACCTACCCAAGGGAGTAGCTCTGTTGACGGGAGAAGCTCTCCCAGCAACATAGTGCTGGCTACACAGGGGGTTAGGTCGGTTATAACTACATCACTCGGCTGTGGATTTTTCACACCCTTGAGCGATGTTGTTATACCAATATATGTCTAGTGTACAACTGGGTTCAGTGACTTCAGTAGAGAGATGCTGATTTACAACAACTGGGAATCTGGCCTCATGTGAGATTACAGTCTAAGTGGTTCAATTCAAATGATAAAGAAGCAGGCTCAAAAGTGGGAGCAAACCTTATTGGAGAGAGGATCAGTACTGAGAGGTTAAATGAAAGAAGCAGCTTTAAAAGGAGGGATTTGAAGGAAGAGCAGGGGTCACTTCTTGCTTGAGAAGAGGGGGATACTGTTCCAAGCATAAGGATAAGAAATGAACTGAGAGTCGGGGGTAGGGGAGGAGTTTGAATGTTACCTCTTGGGGGTTGCTTCCAGTAGAAGGAGAAAATGATGATGGCATCAGGCATATCTTTGATGCAATCCTGTTTATATACAAAGAATGAATAAACAGGAGGTAGTTTGTTTGCTCACAGTTCCAAGCCTCTCTCCAATCAGACCTCTGGCCAAAAAGCTCTCTCTGAGTGTGACACTGGCCCTTTAAGAGCAGGACCACTGCACCTCTGACTTATCAGCTCACTCCAATTGGGTTTTAAGAGAGAGCACCTGAGCCATATAAATGAGAGAGATCTGGTGAGTGTGGGGGAACCTAAGGACACAGATGAATGGAACAAAGGACAAGAGCAGGTAAGAGCTACCTAGAGGAGACTGAGTCTTCAGAGAGTAGAAGGCTCTGCATGCTCTCTATGGAACAGAGTGACCAGACAGCAAATGTGAAAAATTGGGATAGAGGGTGGGGGGGTAATAGGAGCCTATATAAGAAAAAGATCCCAAAATCAGGACTGTCCCAATAAAATCGGAACATCTGGTCACCCTATCATGGAAAGAGAGAGGAATTGGCTAGGAGGCTAGTGGAGAGGCTGTTTGCTAACTGCTCTGAGGTAGAAAGTCAGTGCTGGGAGCTTAAAAGGGCTGAGAGCTAGGAGCTGGTGGAGAAGTTAGTCTGCTGACCTTCCTGAGCCAGAGAGCTAGTGCTGAAAGCTGAAGAGGGCTGAGTCATTGGACTGGTTTTGGGAGGAAGAGTGATGGGACTGGTCCCCGGCAGTTGGATGGTCTGGAGAGTGAGGTTCTGAGACAAGAGCAGGAAAGAACTGAGAGCGAGTGCTGATGGGCTCATGGGTGAGGAGCTTGAAAAATTGCTGGACATTTCTCTGTTTTACTGTGGCAATTGGGAGAACAGCTTTATTATGAGGGTTCTATGGACTATTCTATATGTACATGAATAAATTATACCCAGAAGTGATGTTTTGAGTGGACACTAGGAGAGACTTTGTTCTTTTTTATGGTTGGACTGAGGAGAAACTGAGTCAGATGCACGTGTAGTTCCATGGCCTGCTGCAGGAGGGCATCCCAGATGGGCTGCCTTCTTATGCTGTCTCTCTTAGCTTTCTCTCAGGTTCTTGTTACAAGGGCTTCTCTTGCTGTCTCCTGGGCTTTTCACTCTTCTGGCTGTTTCTGACTCAAACATGCACACACAGCAGCAATAACAATCAGACCCCAGACCCTACGTTTGTGTTCAGTCAAGTCCTTTGGTGGTGGCTTCCAGCTATCACTAACCAAAAGGACATTTAATTGTACACTCATTTAGCCTGAATGGAAGGCAGACAGCGTGCCCAACAACTTCACCGAGCTTTGTGATCACCCATAGATCAAAGCCAAGCTTGCTAGATGTCTGTCATCCTATCTCCAGGAGAGAGCACTGGGTAAGAGAAAATGCAAGTGGAGAGAGACTTGTTTGTCTGTGGAAAATAGAAGAATGCCAGTAGAAGATGATAATGGTTTAGTTTCTTTTTGATAATCACATCACTGGCTAATTAAATTAATCTAGCACAGTGATGCTCAAACTTTTCCTGTCATGCCGTGCCCTTCCCCCCTCCCCCCCCCCCCACCACACATTACTGCACAGTTGGCTCAGCAGAGGAGCTTGGGCTAAAGGTGAAGCTGGGGGCAGAACTGTGAATGGGGCAGGACTTGGGGCTAGAGGCAGAACTGGCCTGGAAGCGGAGAGGGAATGAGGGCTGAGTGGAGCTGGGAGCGGAGCTGGGTGTTGCTCCCTCCCTG